TCATAAAAGTTTGTAAAAGTTTCAGTAGTTGTTTTGTATTTTATATATTTTTTTCTCTTTAGGTAAACTCTAGAAAATCATAAGCTTTTGTTATAGTGGTAAGCATTTTTTCCCTTCTGTCTCTCTCTTCTTTGTTGAGTCTATGCATGTCTGGCGTTGTGTTCTGTCTATATATAAAATAAACTTACCTCAGAGTCATTGAATGTGCCAATGATGTAAAATTCATGACTTATCTAAAATTAGTCTCCTTTCAAAAGTATAAATTAGAAACAGGTTTGACTAATTGGATTAACAAAAAGTTCTCTATTTATATACAAATTTGACAATTAAAGGTGCATGGTGTATGGCCCAGTCCTTTTCCAGTCTGACTCTGTTTCACGGTATGGCATTAAACTGTTCTGTCTTCATGGAGACCAAACCGGACCAAGTTACAGGTTAGATCTGCAGAGAGGCAACCCCACTCACTGTCAGCACGCCTGTTTTTCTAAATATTCCTGAGCTATAAAACCACCTGCAATTGAATGAATGTAAGGTAGAGCCATTTAAGTCATTCTGTAGAGCATTCCAGGCAGAGCAATGACATATCCATAGAAACAAACCGATGACAGACCCCCAATCAAAAAGTTACATATTGCACCTTTAACAAGTTGAATAGATTTAATATTGGATTAGTTTCTGACAGATTATAAATCCATGTCTGTTTTGTATTGGTAGATTTTCAAATATTTCCTGTGTCTGGAGTTATGTCAAACAGGCAGTGACTTGCACCATACCAGGGCTGTGCTCTTTATTGCTCATTTCCAGCTGTTTTCTCTGTCATTCTTACATATAGATGTGGACTGTGCTGTAGAAAGGGGTTCCTCCTGTCCCATTGGGTGTGGTTTGGGTGGGTAAGGTTGAGGAGGTAGTTCCTTCTTATATTATTTGACTCCAGTGTGATTGATGACAGCTCAGACAGAGCTGCCCCAGGGTAGGTATTTTGCAAGAGCAGCAGAAGAAGAAAAAAACTCATAGCTTGGTGAATGTAGGAAAGCAGAGTGGATTGAACACTCCCACCAACAACAGGAACTTCATTGTAGAGATACAGACACACAGTAGCCAACGTTGCTGCTAAGAAGTCACGTTTTTGTTTAGTTTTGTGGTTAATTTCACCAAAATGGATCCAAGATTCAGGAACTACTCCACAGACAGCATGGGCAGCGATGTGGTCTTCATAGATGAGATGCAATATCAAGCCATGTTACGGGCTTCTGCGCATAGAAAAGGTATGCAAAAAATACTAAATACATTTAAATACTTTTACCTGATGCATTTGAACAGTTCTCCATATTTGTAAATTTGAAATTCTGATGTTTACGTTGTAGTATTGTGGTGGTGGTCTTCCTCCCATCAAATCTAGCAAGCCCCTCCTCTTACTATGTCATGAGATTTACGGTTTTTATTGGTTAGTGCAACTGACACCCATTTTGGGGCGAAACGAGATAATTTTAAGAAAAAAATCCTTGGAGGAAATTTTTCTTGTCTGAATGAGAAATGTCACACCCTATTCCCTGTCTTAATTCAGTCATTTTACCAATAAGCTTTTGTAAACTTATCAGATATTATTTACCACAGCAAATGGTAGTCTTAAAGGTGAATTGTGTAACTTTTTCTGGTGGAGCTTCTGTCAAATATTTTTCTTTATAGAGATATTATTACAGCTACACAGTATGGCATTAAATCTTTCTATCTTCTATCTACTTTTCGAGTAATAAAACCACCTGTATTTTATAAATGTAAGGTAGAGCTGTTTAACATCATATTGTGGAACATTCCAGGCAGAGCAATGACATATCCATAGAAACAAGCCGGTGACCCCCAACCAAAAAGTTATATAGTGCATCTTTAAGCTACTTCTTCAGGCTATGCCAGTGTATGTCTCAATATCACAAAGTAGTTTTCTTTTTCTTTTTTTCGCACAATGCAAGTCTGTGAATAGATCAAATATCTTGCGTCTCATATTAACAGAGTCTTGGCTTCACAGATGAAAGCAAGAATTTAGAGTCTTCAAGTTTCTGTTCTGGGCTGGGGGCTACAAAAATCCTCCACGATTTAGAAACACATTATTTCTCGCCACTCTCGTTTGCTTTTCCAATCCCAGTTTTCACAGGTTGAAGTTTAGGAATGTTAAGTGCAGCACTGTCTGACCCTGATGCCTCTTTAAGAACAAGCTGGTCCTGTGTTAGAGAAAAAACATTACAATCTATCATGTCACTTAGATGGGTTTTCTGTTATTTGTTTTAGTAGGTAAAACGGCTTGAATTTTGAATATTTGTCATAATACATTTTATTTTAATTGGTCATTAAATTCAGTAGAAATATTGCAATGTTTAGATAGAATTACAGTTTTTTTGTTTTTTGTTTTTTTTAATTACATACATTTTTAAGTAACAATCCTCTTACTTGAGTAAAACTTTTGGTTCCACCTACTTAACTCTACGCAACTCTGTAATTTCCTCATTGTGAGACAAACAAAGGTTTATGTTTATCTCATCTTAACCTTCCCCCGATGGCGTGTGCACCAGCTGTTTGTCTCCATATATTATAGCTTTGTCTGGAATGTTCCACAGTATGGCATTTAACGCATCATGAAGCATGTTTGTAATGCTCAAGAAATCCTTGAAGTTCACGTTGTGAAACATTTCATACAAAACAGTAACATCTCCATGAACACAAGCAGGTAGTGGACCCTCTACTAGAAAACTTACATAGTACATCTTTAAGAAAAAGAAAATGTCTAAGAAAAAATCTAAAACAGTTTTCATTGGCAGATTAAAATTGAATAAAGATAATGAAATTCTTACAACATGGCAATTAGAAAGACATGTTACACTAATAAATAAACTAACCAAAAATCAGGATAAATTAATAAACAAACCAAAATAATGATAAATCAGGATAAAAATCAGGATGAATTAATCTCAACAGATCCCCCCTTTTTCATCATTCTCTTATAAAAGTCTTTGATTGAGTCACAAGTCGGTGAATCACAGTGAAATGTTGTAATGCCTTGAAACGCCACCGGACTCTTCTATTTTAAATCTGCTCAGAGTCGGAGAAATTAAGCCTATCTGTGGGAATGACCACTTTACAACGCCGTCATGTTGCTCTACTGTCTGGTATTCATTCAGATTTCATATAAATACAAGAAAAAATACAAGACTTTGGTTCATAATATAGATCTATATAGTGTATTTTTTTCTATATTAGTGGCAGATTTAGGAAAGCTGAACAACTGAAATTTTGAACACAAGAAAACAGATTTTTATTTCTTTTTTTGTCATGTGAATGGGATCTATGTAATCATATGAATCAAAGTTAAGGACGGCTGTGCACTTTTTTGTCCTATTTTGATCATGTGTCCTTTGCCTTTGACCCATCCTTCTTGATTTTTATCTGGGATCAGGGTAAAGACTTTAAAGGATCCATATTATACTATTTTCTGATCTATGTTTCACTATTGTTTCCTCATCAAAAACATACCTAGAGTTGTGTTTTGTGTCGTTCACACCTATTTAACACACACATCTTGCATATTTAGGAGTTTTTCTGTCAGACATAAAACACTCTGTCCCACCTTATGATGTCATATGGTAATACAGGAAGTGTTCCACTGTATTTTTAAAGTGCTTGCATACACCTTCATTAGAATCATTTGGATAATTTCAGCCCTGGAATTGCCGATCTCTACTGAACAAAAAGTAAAAGGAGCTGTGATCGTCCAAACTATCTTCATGACATCACAAGGTGGAACAGAGCATTTTCAGCTTTGGAGATGTAGACAAACTAATAATAGAGGATTACTCAAACATGCGTGAATGAGACCTTCTTAGTACACCCATAATGTTATATTAGTAAAAAAAAATGTAAAAAGGGGAGGGTTTTGTAGTAAAGCGTAATGTTGTGTGCGTTGTTAAAAATATTGATGGTCAAGTTTGCCTTTTTACATACACTTCCCATTGTTTACATCAGGTACATTTATGTAATATTCTCCTTGTTTTGACTGACTTTCACCCACCTGTACTGTAAAACTATCCCCTCCTGATAATTATCTGTTCACGCCACATTGACTCCACACAGTCCGCGTCCCGCATGGGTTCACTGTGGTATGCAGCATGCCTCCTGCCTGATTCACTGCTGAACCAAACCCAAAACTCCAGAAATAAAAGGACGAGGTGGGACATGTCAGGAGCAGAAGTGTTTTCATTTTGATTTATTTTTTGTTTTATTTTTTATTTGCAGTTACAGAAACATAAAGGGTATTTTACTGTGGGTTGTATGTAAGCTCAATAAGTTGTTTTTTATGAGAAGTGTAACAGTGCAAACAAAAATGCAAACTTAACCGTGCAGTAGAGATGGACAGATCCAGTACTGATATCCCATGTTGGTTCTAATAGTGAAAGATTTGGTGGATTGTATATCATATATTCTGAATTTTGATTCATCCTGTTCAAACATTTAAATTGATGTATTAAAAAATTGCTGGTTGTAGTCCTTTCAAAAAGTTTCATAATGTTTTAAATTTTACTTGCTGTTCTATAGTTACTTAAAGGATAATTAACAACTACTTAACACAGTTGTATGAGTTTTTTTTATTTTTGTTTTAAGAAATAAATGCAGTTTTCAGTCTCTGTACTGCTAAGAGATATTTAAAACTATAGTGTCGGAATCGGTATCGGAACTGAAAACTCTGGATCAGTGCATCCCTACCAAGTAGTGTAATCAATGGTGAACTTTACCACTGAAATTGGTAAACATTACAATTTCATATATTGTAATCTGGCACATGGGCTGTAAACATGTGAGGTCTGTAGTCAATAGTATCAATTATAAAACAGTTAGACCACATTTACATGAGGGTACTATTCAATCAGTGTATGCTTTATTTGTATGAAACCTGAAAGCATCAGTAATTTAAAATCCATGTTATTAAAAGTTTCAATTTTCTTTGTGTTTTTCAGATGAGCGGGACAGAGTTCAGAAAAAGACATTTACAAAATGGGTCAACAAACATCTGATAAAGGTAAGATTGAGATGAAACCTGGAACTAAACCTGGACTAGAACAGAACTAAACTAAGACGTAAACTTCAAAGCGTTATCAAACCAGAACATATATGTACGCTCCCATTTTTATATCATAGACTAAATGACCAAACCAAAACTTTAGAAGCAGTGTCTTTGTTAAAGGTGCACTGTGTACTTTTTCTGTTTGTCTCCATGGAGATATTATGGTCCTTATTCCACAGTATGGAAATAAACTTTGCAACTACAATAGAGACATGTTTTAGTCCTCTTTGGTTAGATCTATGGAGAAGTCAGCCTGTACATGGTAACAATTCATGTGTTTTAAGGTATTTTTGAGCCGGTAATTGAGCAAAAGTAAGAGAGATATATTTAATGTCCTACTGTGGAGCATTCCCGGAAAAAAACATCTCCATGGAGACAAGCAAGCAGAACCTCCCCCTTAGAAGTTACATAGTGCACCTTTAAAATTGAAGTGGATAAATAACCTGTTGTGATGACTGACAGTTTTCATTCAAATTTGTTAATTTTACAATAATTCGTTTACAAAACAAAACTATAGCTTACATCTCTTCTCTGGTTTATGTTTACATCATTGAACAGAAGGGCTCCAGATGTCCTTGTATAATTCCAATAACAGTCTGTTCTAATTTCTCTCTGGGATACAAAAGTTTCTGACAGGGAGTTCTTACCTGGAAAAACATAGCTTTTTTTTTTTTTTTTTTTTTTTTTTTTGCGTAAAACTATTTGGAAAAGACCAAAGATGTGATAGAAAACAGAAATGCCGACGTTTGGTGTGAGTCATGATCACCTGCAGACAGTTTAAATCGTCCAAAAAATAAAAATAAAAGTGGTTCTGCTATGGACAGGTTTAACATCTGCTCCCCAGACGCGAGAGAAATCTGAACTTTGCTACTTTGTGTTAATGTTAAATGTAGTTTACACTAAAGAGGTTATAGGATCCTGAGGGACATATGGTAGTAATGCAATGTAATGTGTCTTGTATTGTATTGTATTATAAGATAACAAGTATTGTCTTAAACTAATACAACTCATTTTTATGTTAAAGGTGGGCTCACACACACTCATAGAACTATAGTTACATAAAGTAACTGTAATTTCTACACTATGCAAAATTAACTTGTGAGCTTTAAGCCATGTTATAATGTCTTTACCTTCTTCTAAAAAACATACCTAGAGTTGTGTTTTGTTTCATTCACACAATAGTAGTAACTTTGCATTATTAGTCAGGCTACATCTCCAAAGCTCAAAAAGCTCTGTTCCACCTTATGTTGTCATGAAGTGGTAGTTTTCAAGTTAACAGCTCCTTTTACTTTGAGTTCAGTAGAGATTGGCAATTCCAGTGCTGAAACATCCTAGTGAAGGTGTATGGAGTTTAAAAACACAGAGGAGCACCATGGCATCATAAGGTGGAAAAATAGTGTTTTCTGTTTGAAAGAAGAATGCAGAGTAAATATGCAGGATTTGTGTATTTAACATATATGAATGAAACAAAATACTCTAGGTACAGTATGTTTGTGATGAGGAAACAACATTATAACATAGAACAGAAAATAGTGTAATATGGGCCCTTTAATTATCTTCACTATCTACCATCTATCTTTAATTGGTTTCAGCTTGCCTTTATATTTTTAGAGTATTGTGCTGGTGTGTGCATAATAATAACTGGTAACAGTTCAAATTAGTTTTCAAACAATAAACTGACTTTTAAATAAAATAAAATGTAATAATGATTGCTGCAATTAAATGTAATAAAACATAGATTGTATGTTTTGTTTTGTGGAGCAGCTTCACATTATTTTTCCATAAACTGAATCTCATTAGACAAAGCTACATTGAAGTCAAATCATTAAGTTTATACAGATTAGTGCTCAGACTTTGTGTTCAGTTTCTTGGTTCGGACTTTCCTCAGACTCTGGTCCAATGTCCTGGTGTGGGTCTCATGTGGGTTGGTGCTCTGGTTCTGGAACTCTGTGATTTTTGGACCAAAGCCCCAAAACAGGATCATAAGACTCCACAGGCCATGTACTATTCGGCAAGTTTATTAATAGCCACAGTGCACTTTCTACATGAATTTGCATCTCCAATATTAGTCCTGGTTTAGTTTTAGGTTAGTCTTGGTTTAGTCCCATTTAAGTCCATGGTTAGGCTTGGTTTAGTCCTAGGTTTAGGCTTTGGTTAAACCTGGTTTTGTCCTGTTTAAAATCTTGGTCAGGCCTGGTTTAGTCCCTTATTATACCTGGTTTAGTCCTGGTTTGGTCCTTGGTTGGATCTCATTTAGTCCTGATTTAGTCCTTGATTAGACCTGCTTGAGACCTGGTTTAGTCCTGATTTAGTCCTTGGTTTACTCCTAGGTTTAGTATTTGGTTAGGGTTTCACCTCATTAAACTTAACCTGATTTTGTCCTGTTTTAAATCTTGGTTATGCCTGATTTAGGCCTTTATTGTTCTTGGTTTAGTCCATGTTTGGTCCTTGGCTGGATCTGGGTTAGTCTAGGTGTAGTCCTGGTTGAGGCCTGGTCGAGATCTCATTTAGTCCTGGTTTAGTCCTTGATTGGTCCTTGTTTAAGCCTGGTTTAGTCAAATGGACAGTACTTTTGAATTGCTGATGTTATAGTTATATCTTTATAAAATTTATTGAAAAGACTTATAGTATAATTTTGTTAAACTGTTGGGTCAAATTACACATCATTGTCCTCATTCTATTTTCTCATAAACCCTCTCAGTTTTGTGTTTTTTCTCATGCGCTCTTGTCTTCTTCCATCTTCTCCTCCCTTTCTCTCTCTCTGTCTTTTCCTCTGTCAGCACTGGAAAGCTGAGGTAGGTGCAGCCTGGACCATGGAGTGGAGTTTTTGGACATATTTTTGCATGTCCCCCAAAATAATAGTTAAAGATTTCTCCTAAATCTTTCACCCTTCCCTCCTTTTTATCTAATTTCTTTGTCCATCACCATGTTCCTCTAATTATTTTTGTCTAGTTATTTTGTTCACTTTGTGCAGTCATAACATTTGAGTTGCTGAAGTTTGAGAATTTTATCTATGCTGCTTCTTGCTACAATATAAGTCATTTATCTACAGTATTTTGGAGATTACAATTGTGATTCTTAACCCCAAGATAATCAAATAAACTGTTGATTTTTAAATCATCTTTTCTTAAAGATGCACTGTGTAACTTTCTGATCAGGGGTGCGCCACCTGCTTGTGTCCATGAAGTTGTTTTTGCTTTACTCAGTGTGTTCCACAGTATAGTATTAACTCCATGGAGACAAGTTGGTTCTCCCAACAGGCCAAGTTAAAGGTCAGATCTGTGGAGAGGTGACCCAGCTCACTATGAATATACATATTTCTGAGACAGTAAAAACACATGGAGTTGTAGAGATGCAAAATAGAAACATTTAAAGCCATTCTGTGGCATTTCCATAGAGACAAGCAGGTGGAGAACCCTGCACCAGAAAAGTTACGCTGTGTACCTTTAATTTTATGCTAAATCTTACTAAACTGCAAATTGTTAGTAGTTATCAAAGTTAGCACTACTGTGTCAAAGCAACATGATGATGCTTTTGATCCTTCTGATAACCATGTAATGTTTTTCTTATTAATTATTAAGTATTACAAAAAAAGTTCAAATGTAGCTGAAATCAATTTATTGGAACCAACTTGAAAATGCCCAATGCGCTGTTGTGGTTGCCTTTAAATGATTTTTATTATAACCACCATTTGTGACTAAAAATCTGTCTTATATTTTTTTGTCTTTAGTCCCAGAGACACATCACAGACCTGTATGAAGACCTCCGAGATGGGCACAACCTTATCTCTCTGCTGGAGGTGCTCTCCGGAGAGACACTGGTGAGGAAAATTTCACTCTTTTGTTGTTTTTCTGTAAACCAAAAGTAGTCCAAATCATAGACTGTATAAAGAAAATTACTAAGGGAGCGTGACATCATCCGTAGCGTTTGGCACCAGTTAAATGAAGCTCATCAAAGCAAATTTGGTGCTGAGTTCCTTATAGGAATTTATTTACTGACAAAATAGCAAAATAAAAACACAACGATCATATAGAGCGGGTTAATATGACTATGAGTAACCGAGAGAGGGGTGACAATATTTCAGTGTAAAGTCAATTGGAGCCAGATTCGATGGAGCAGGAAGAGCACCCATGAACGCTTCCTATTTAGAACATGGCAGCTAGCAGGTTAACTATGTCTATTTATTAATACAGTCTATGGTTTCAACTCACAACTGAGTCTTCATCATGGTAAGATTTGAGATGCAGATGTTTGGACATTTTCAGACGAATTTCCCTTTAAAATTTACAAACTGCATCGTAAATAGCCTTGTTATTTAGGGGTAGACAGATCTACATCTTTCTTCAATAACAGTAACCTGCTCATTTAACCTATGTTTTATGTTTGTAATAATTTACTAGTGCATGTGGTTTACATTGAAGCTGTTGCACCCTTTGATTTTTAACCCTTACTGTGCGTTTTGTCTAACTTTTCACTAATTTGCATCCTCTTCTTCCATCGTAAACTTCACTGACTGGTTTGAGCGCTGGTTTTGTTTCTTTCTCTTCTTCCTGTTTGCTGACCCCTCTCACCTCTGCCCTCTACCCTTTGACCTTTCTTTGCGCTCGTTGCCATGGTAGCCCCGGGAGCGTGACGTTGTGAGGAGCTTGCGGTTGGTGAGTGGCGATCGAGCGGTGGGCGTGGCATGTGTGGCGCCCTCCGATGGCTGCTGCCAAGAACTGCATGTACCTCACTGACTCGCCTCTCTCCCACTCAGTGTCATTCATTTTTATATAAGCTTTATATAAGGTGTCATTTTAACTAAACAGCACTACATTTAATATTGTTTGAATGTTACAAGAAAAATGTGTGCATTATTCTTTCACTTCAAACTCGGTGGAGGTAAGATACTATTGTAGCCACAGCTGCCCTGGGGTAGACTGACGAGGCTGCCACTTTGGTGGCACTTTGGTGAGTGGCTAGCACTCACGCTTCACAGGGTTCGATTCCCAGGACACCCAGACTTTTCTGTGTGCATGTTCTCCCTGAATTGTGCAGTAAATATGCATAATCTCCAGCTAATGTAGTCCTGACTAAGTCTAGCAGCAAAATCAAAGATGGGTCCCCGGGTACTGCTGTGCCCGTTGCTCCTGAGGAGATGTGCTAGCAGTATTGAAGAATGGGTCAAATGCAGAGGACAAATGTCCCTGTAGGGAGGGATAAAGTGTACCTTAACCTTAAATATACTGCCCAAAGCCACAACAACAGTTGTTTATCTGTTTATAAGCTCTACCAACTGCTTTAAAAATATACTGTAAAATGTAAAAATAATGAAACATTTTCATGTGAGTTAGTATTGGGATTGATAATAGTTTTTAAATAATGCATAAGATCCATGAATCCAGTGCATGTTACATCCATCATTACATGTATGTCTGCCTGGATGTTTCAACATGCCTGTTAGAAAAAATATCAACAGTACTTTGAGTAATGTGAACTCCTTCCACTTAATGCACAGTTTTAACTTTAGTTTTTAAAATGTGCTGCTATTTCATTTGCAATTTATAAATTTACACCATGACTGCACATATATGTTCACTAGATGCAGTAGAAGTAGTCATGTATAAAGTGGGCATGGTCTTGTACACCTGCTCCTCAGTCATGGGGTTGTCTTGTTCGTTTAATTTGAAGTTAAGAGATTTTTGTCGCTAATGTAACACTTTTATTTTATTGTCCTTTTTCAGCCGAGGGAGAAAGGCAGAATGCGTTTCCACAAACTACAAAATGTACAGATCGCCCTGGACTTTCTCAAACACAGACAGGTCAGTACACAGTAAATATTTTTATTATGTTTATTTCTTTATGTTATTTTATACATGTTTCTGGTGGAGTGCATGTGTACTTGTCTCCATGGAGATGTTTTTGCTTTGCTTGGAATCTTCCACAGTATTGCATTACATTTGTCTTGCATTTACCATTGTGTCTTTAATTGCTTAGCAACATGCATTCTGACCTTGGTCTGTTTAAAGTAATACTAAAGAACATTTCAATAGAAAAAGCAATTACATCTCCATGGACACAAGCAACCCTCCACCAGAAAAGACACATTTTTAATTGACACTATATGTATGTTTTTTTTTATATTTCAGGTGAAGCTTGTGAACATCAGGAATGACGATATCGCAGATGGAAACCCAAAGCTCACCCTGGGCCTCATATGGACCATCATCCTCCACTTCCAGGTTTGTCAGCCTATACACACTTTATAACACAATAATAACAAAATATAAAGTAATTAAAGTGTTTTGCATCTTTCGTCATGCAGTTAAATAGTGTAGTAAATAGTGTAATAGTGATCTGATGGAGGGTTTGTCCTGAGCCACCATAATATAAAGATTTGATAACACATAATTTAAATGCAATCAAGTAATCTGTATTTTATTTTTATTTTATTTTATTAAGCACAGTGCATGTAGAGTGTGTAGCTAGTGCTAATTCTTATCTTCTGTCCTTGGTTGGGCTTTTTTCTACACTAAACAATTGAAGGTCATGATTTTGTGGGACTTCTAAAATCCCCCATAGTGATGTTTATAAGTGATGTTTTTCCAAAGGTTGCTGGGGTAAATACAGATAAAAGTTCATTTATTAAACCGTGCTGACAGTGAGGCTCCTATGGTGAAACTTGGCTGAGCACGTAGGCCGCTGTTGCCTTGAGGGAGTGAACCAGATCATATCTAACTCTGTCAATACACTCAAAGTCATTCACCTCTTTTTCTCTTCACTCTTTTTCACTTAGTTTATTTCGTACTCACTTTCTGGTTCAGTTTTGAATCTTAATAGTTTGTTCTAAAATGTAGCTTGAATAAAGGCATTTCAACAGAATTTTTAAAATGTTGATAGTTGAATCGTAGACAAGCTTTAAGACTTTATAAAATCTAAATACCCAACATGACTCTAAGCAATAAGCCATAATTTTCTTATGATTTTAATGTTACAAAAATAATAGAGCCAGAAGTACGCCCATGCTCACTTCCTGTTTGGAAAATGATGGCTAGCAGGTTAGCTATGTGCAATTATAGGAGCACCCAGCCACCCTGTGGAGGAAACTCATTTCAACCGCTTGTATCTGCAATCTTGTCCTTTCGATCATTACCCAGAGCTCTTGACCATTGGTGAGGGTAGGAATGTAGATTGACCGGTAAATCGAGAGCTTTGCCTTTCGGCTCAGCTCCCTCTTCACCATAACGGTACCATACAGCGACCGCATCACTGCCGGCGCTGCACTGTCAATCTCACTCTCCACCCCCCCTCACTCGTGAACAAGACCCCGAGATACTTGAACTCCGCTACTTGAGTCAAGGACTCTTCACCCACCCGGAAAGGGCAAGCCACCGTTTTCTGGTCGAGAACCATGGCCTCAGATTTGGAGGAGCTGATCTTTGTCCCAGCCGTTTCACACTTGGCTGCAAACTGCCCCAGTGCACACTGCAGATCCTGGCATGATGGAGCCAACAGGACAACATCAGCTGCGAACAGCAGAGATGAGATCCTGTGGTCCCCAAACCGGACCCCCTCCGGCCCCTGACTGCGCCTAGAAATTCTGTCCATAAATACAATGAACGGAACCGGTGACAAAGGGCAGCCCTGGCGGAGTCCAACATGCACCGGGAACAGGTCTGACTTACTGCCGGCAATGCGAACACAGCTCCTGCTCCAGTCATACTCAATACATACATCAATGTATCATTTATTTAAAAATGTATTGGGTGATAATTCTGTACTTTTACTTTTTAAGAGTTACTTTTTTATTTACTTGAATGGATTGCAAAAGCATGATCTAATTATTATTATCCAAAGTTTTTCATAAAAGATGAAATATAAACCCCCCTAGTTAATTCTTATCTAACAAAAATAGTCTGTTGGAAATGCTACCCTTTTATACACTGTTCCATTGTTTTGTAGCTATTAAAGCTATAGCACAACTGTTCCTTTGTTCAAATTTATTGTTCCTTTGGGCAACCAGTTTTAAGTATACCCCATTCTCATAAGCGAATTCAATTTAATGACCCTTTAGGGCAAATAAAATATATTCTGTGATTATTTTAACTGCTTGCATGCATTCAAATCAGCTGAGTCACATTTCCTGAGCCTTGCACCTTTGTTTACAATAGGGACCAGGCATTGACCACTATTACATAACACTACACACTGTTTGACATGCATTTTAAACATTTTCATTACAGCATGATTAGTTCGCTTCCGGGCAGAGCGCAGGAAAATCGAACGCGCTTTCAAGGCTCACTCAACAGATTTGATTTAGTTTTGTTGACAGAGCAGTTACAGTAGAAGCAGGGAGTTAAAATTGCATGTAGTCAGACATTTGGTAATACTTAAAACCTCCATATATACAAGATTTAAGTGTTTCAAGACTAAACAATGAAAGCAAGGTTTAATTTGGTGTATCCTGTTCGTATTCTCAAGTTTAAAGAGGTTTATTGATTCATGTGGCGCTGGGTTACTGCGTTGGCTTACAATAAAGAGAAGAAGGCCTTGAATTCAACGTAAACAGATCAAATCAGAGTACGGCTCCCACATCTGGTCCTCTCAAAGCAGATGTTAGTTTCATATGTGGGTAGAGTAGTCAGAAATGTACCGCTTAAAGTACTGTTACTTCATTGTAATATTACTCAAGTAGAAGTTCAAGGTAGTGGTCCAAGAACTGACTCAATTACTATAAAAACATTTTTGGTAAGAATTGCAAAAGTAACTAAGCTTGTCTAAGGTTAATGTAACAATGTGACAAACCATGAAAAAGTGCAACTAAATCTAATGTGTTAAAAGGATGGGCACAAAATGATGAAAAAAAAACATATTTGAAAAATCAGTGCTCACAACATTTATGTTCAAATCATAATATAAACTGTCAGCGTTAACTTTTTAAATGTGCAAGGTTTGTGTGTTAACTATGTGAATGAAACACCACACAACTCCTGGTATGTTTGTGTTTGTGATGAGGAAACAACATTATAACATAGATTAGAAAATAACATAATATGGGCCCTTCAGAGATTAACATAATAAAAATAATACTCTAAAATATGATGAATCTATTGTAAGTTATACATATTTTCATCACATTGCTAAACTTTACTCCGGATGTGGAATCCTTGGGAGTGCACAGTGGAGGAGTCTTCATGCTTTGATGGTTTTGATGGTGAGTTTGGGTTCTGGCTCTTCATCCTGCATGACTCACTCGTCCCATGTGAAGTTGGTGGGACAGATGCGTAACTCCAGCTCCCAAAAAAACTGTGGAAAATTTCAAGCCCACTGCAATGTACAGGGTTTCCCACACTAAATGAGTCAGGAGGAGGCAGTGAGCCCTTGGATGTGTAAATTTATGGCCTTTTAAGACTTGATTACCAAAATTTCTTACTATCCTTTATGCAACTGCCAGTGGAAATGTGTAATTGAGATTTCGATATTATAGCTTTAAGTATCTGCCGATTCCCAATATAAACCGGCACTGATAATACAAAGACAAAAAATATACGATGAGGCCCAGATTTTAATTAACATTTTGCATTCCAGTGATTTTCCAACACTTACCATATTCACTTTAAATGTTAGTTAATTGTCATCTTGAAAATAATCTTTCTCTAAAATAATCCTAATGTACAATTACGACCAGTTCTAAACTCAAACCATGGTGTGTAATTGGCAGCTAACACTGTGTTCAAGCCCGATCTATAGACCAGGACTAAACTAGGACTAGAACAGGACCAAACCAAGACTACATCAGGACTAAACTAGGATTAAACCAGGACTATTTCTGGAAAAGTGCAAACGCAGTCTTAGTGAATAACTTTAATGCATTGTAAAACAGGGGAACAACTTTTATTTCTGCACGTATTAGTCACCATGAACAATAGTGACTTCCTCAAACCTCTCTGTTCCCAGGAGTTTAAACATTAACAATAAAAATAACAGCAGTTTAATACAGTTTATAGAAGGAGCAGCTAAAGAAGGGAGTACTTTGACTCATAGTTATTCTTCTCTCACACAGCTTTGGGGGTTCCCATTAGAAAAGAGCAAAGAGGAAGAAGTTAAATTTTTTCCGCCCTCCGCCCTTTTCCTCATCTGTCCAAGTGAAATTATAACTTCTGCTCTGAGTCATGTAAGAAATAACACCAGCAGGAGCACAAACTGTTTCCATAGAAGACTCCAAAGAGCTGAAAAACCTGTGGTTATTTACAGAATCCTCCCCAAAATGTGAATGTTTTATAACTGCACATTTTTCAAGCAGATAAAAATGACTTTAATCTTATTCTCATATCAAGAATTGAATTTTCAGCATTAAGATTTTCAAATTCATGATTTGGCATTAAATTTACTTATCTTACATTTATGCAATTAGTGTTTTAATTTTTCAAAAATCTGACCAGTATTTTGATGTCTCAATGGAGTGAGAAAGTTTAAAGCCATGCTGTGGAACATTCCAGCAAATAGCAAAAGAAAATTTTATTCTGTCAACTGTGCAAAACTTTTTTGATTGAACCAAGCAGCTTCTTCAGTTCTGAAACAAAAACTTTTGTCCACTTGACAGGCATCCAGGTAAATCAATGCATCTCCATAGAAACGTGAGCCATCCCTCAGAAAAGTTACATAGTTTTACTTACTAACTTACTTATTTACTTACTTACTAACAGACACCATACATTTTATTCTGATAATGAACTTTTACACTTGAACAGTTATAGCAACTATAACAAAATTTTCTTGTTAACTTTGCCCTCAAAATCACTGCTGCTCCAGTGTTTTTAGTGGGCGGATTCAGGGAGCTGTAAAACTTTGTCTCTGAGGCATTTTCTGTTTATTGTTGTTTAACTAAATAAATAAACGTTTGTGGTGGTTCAAACTCAGGCACGTTATGTTCTCTGTAAGTGAAAGCCGTGGGTTAAACTGTGACTCATCTCAATATGGAAGAAATCAGCCTTTAGGAAAATACACTTTCCTACCCCTGGTTCAACATGCCAACTGCTCTTAATATAAAGGGAAAAGTTATATATATGCCACCAAGAATAACATTTTAAAGTGAAAACTAGAAGCTATATAAAAATAGGCCCACAAAGTGACACTGATTAAAGTTGAAAAGCTATTTTATACAAATGCTTTTTTAAGAGTGCCCCACAGCAAGGAATAAGAGTTTCTCTGCTTTGAATTTGGGGAATGAATGAATAATGTAATGTATATCAAACCAACAAACATTTACCTCATCAAAAACAGACCTTGAGTTGGGTATGGTTTCATTCACACAGTAATCCTTTGTTATTAGTTCATATCTACATTGACAAAGCTCAAAATGCTCCGTTCCACCTTGTCATGTCATGTAGCGATAGTTTTTGAGTTAATAGCTAACTTTCACTGTTAGTTCAGAAGAGATCGGCAATTCCAGGGCTGAAATTTATCCAAATGATTGTAGTGAAGGTGTGAACTCCAGGTATGGTTGCAATAAGGAAACAACATTATAACATAGATCAGAAAATAGTGTAATATTCGTCCTTTAATTATAAAACTTTATACATATATACAAATCGGATACAAATTTCTTCTTATTTACATTATCTACTACCCTAAAATTCTTACTAATGTCTCTTATTCTCTCCTCAGATCTCGGACATCCAGGTGAACGGTCAGTCCGATGACATGACGGCCAAAGAGCGTCTGCTGCTGTGGTCCCAGAGGATGGTGGAGGGTTACCAAGGCCTCCGCTGCGAAAACTTCACCTCGAGCTGGAGGGATGGAAAACTCTTCAACGCCATCATTCACAGGCACAGGTCAGAGGAGTCAGAGGTCAGGGGTCAGAGCAGGGGTTGAGGGCTATACATGGGTTCAGGATGATGAAGTGATTCTCCAAATTTGAGACAGAGTCCAAATTTGCTCATGTCTACCGTCCTCAAAATGGCACCATGTAACAGGAAGCTGAACCCAATGGCTCACACTGCTGATTATTATGATACCAAAATATTCTATTAGGGCTGCAACTCCTAATAATTATTTTTCTTATCAGTTTATTTTCTTGATTAGTCATAGTGGTTAAACTCCTATAGGCCAGTGTACATTATATTTTGTTGTTGTTGTTGTTGTTGTCATTTTAGGTTTTGTGGTTGGAGAAATATGGCAGGATAATGGACATTGTCACTAATGTAATTAAACAGGGACACTCTGGACGCTCTGCATTGTATTCTACAGTGACAGTGTGAACAACAAATATATTCGATTACACAGAGGCAAGGCAGGTTTATTTATATAGCACAATTTGTACACAAAGTGATTCAAAGTCCTTTACAGAATAAGGAAGACATCAAAATCACAATACAGATCAATCAGAATGTAAATAATTAACGGTGTAAATAATTAAAGGTGTATTGTGTAACTTTTGTGGTGCAGGGTCTATCATACTGTAGAATATTCCAGGCAGAGCAGTGACATCTCAAAAACCAAAAAGTTACACAGTGCACCTGCACTTACACATAACACATACCATAAAGGCTTATCTAATATCTAATATCCAGTACACATGTCACTGTCTTTCAACTTCAGCACAGAGTTAAACCACCAAATACCACTATTGAAATAAAGGTTTTCAGGTACATTTTTTCAATTATTTTGACATAAGCTGGTGTAGAAAGGGCTTGTCCGAACTTGAATCATGCCACACCGTAGGGCACCCATCTTTCACAGAAGGTTTAAATAATATTACAGATGACCTTTTAGTCTGATCTCTGTTATATAACCACTCATCTATCTGTCTTTCAAATGTCAAAGCAAAGAAAGCACGAAACGTACACACCAGAATGCATAAAATTTTAATTGCTCATATTTTGTTTAGATTATTTTAAACTTTAATTTTAAAGTGCCTATTCTGAATTGTTGATTATATTTGGTTATATTAAACATGATTAAATATGGATCTTTTTAAATTAATGTTTTTAAATTAATTAAGATATGAGTTTTTATTTATTGATTGATTTATTTGTCTATTTTTGTTTTAGTTCTGTAAAATATTAAATTTAATACAAAAAACAGTGGAAAAAAGCATTAATCTAAATATACATTAAAGTTCACAGCCATTGTATGTAATATCAGAGGCACTAAATATGTCCATATAATTCAAGCATATCATAAAACATTTAACATGGCTATATTGAATTTCTACATTTATTTTTAGATTCAGATAGGGTGTCAAGCTAAAATCTTCATAGAAAATGTTCAACATTTCAAAGTAAACACAGTGTTGTACAAACTGCCAGCCTCCAGCGATGAGAGATTTATGCTCAAAGACACAGAATTTGGTCGTAGGTGGAGGTACTTTAAAGTCTTGGGGCTTAGTCTCAAAGTTCGTGGCTCTGTTGAACGTAAAAATACCAGGTTTAAACTTTGACTTTTCGAGTGACATTAAGACCAAAATAGAACCAAATTAAACTTAGACACTTTAAAGGGCCCACATTATATTATTATCTGATCTATCTTATAATGTTGTTTCATGGAGTTGTGTTTCGTTTTATTCACACATGTTTGAGTAATCCTTTATTATTCCGCTTAAATCAGTAGAGATAGGAAATTCCAGGACTGAAACCATCCAAATGATTCTAGTAAAGATGTATGGAGTAAAATACATAGTGGAGCACTTTTTGAATGACCATCTCACCAGGTAGAAATGAGTGTTTTCTGTTTGAGAGAAGAACTCACCCTAAATATGCAGGATTTGTGTGTTAAAAATGTGTGAATGAAACAAAACATAACTCCAGGAGGTCTGTTTAATGATGATGAAGAAACAACATTATAACATAGATTAGAAAATGGCATAATATAGGCCCTCTAAATGACAAGTTTATATTGTTTATGTTCAGGAAATGTATGTTGGAAACTATTTCATTTATATTTAGTAAGACAATATAAAATTAAATGGGAAATTGTGATCGATCAAAATGAAGGAAAACATTTGATAAATTTTTTTGCCATTTCGCCTAGCCCTAGTTTGACCTATACACTGTGTAATGTTTTACCACATCTTGAAAACCACTGGCTTCTTGGTGTGGGCGCATCATATAAATGTTAAAAGATCTTCCCCCGGGGGACCATATTTGACAGACAGGTTTCTGCAAATCGCTTGTTCAAACTCCACGTCGCAGATTCTTGAGAGCAGAGATGAAGTAGCATCTGCAGAAGTGCTGCAGTCGAAAGAAGACATTTGGATAACTTTCATATGCATTTTTAGATATTTTTTCGTAGATTTCAAATCTTAAAAACATCGCCAAAATGTTAAAACTGAAAAGAAGATTTAGTAGCAAGAGGCGTTTGAACAGCGCATCGAGCAGCACTGCAGGATCCATCAGTGATTTGGATGATAAAGTTATTATGCTTTGTGAGGACATCCCAGCGGAGACTTCTTTTGATTCAGGAAGAGGATCGCAAAGTCCAGGAGTCAGGTCCAGTCCTGGTTACCAAAGTGAGGACCAGGAGGGACCAGCAAAACCGGGTTCAGATTCTCAGATAGTCCAGCTGAGTCGAGACAGGACTTCCTTCAGGAGAGCGTGCTACATAGATGGATATCCTCGCAAAGGGAGATACAGCCAGAAAGTTGAACAAGTGTATGAGCTCTATTATTATTCCTCTTAGATTAGATTATTATGGACTGTATCTGATTATAGTCGATGGTGGAATGTAACAATGTCCAAGTACTGTACTTAAGTAGATTTTATAGTGGATATTTTTACTTCTCTACATTTGAGAAGCAGTATCTGTACTTTCTACTTCACTACATTTTTGAACAGGACTGAAAAGTAAAAAGTAGTCTACTTTTATGTGATTTTTAGAGGTTATTTTACTTACTTTATTTTATTTGTGGTAACATTCTGACTAAAGCTTTTGAGTTCAAGCTTTGGCTTTGATACACAAAATCCTTGAGAAAATTAAGGAAGTTGTATGAAAATACTCCTCTTAGATCAGATTAGAGTATTATGGATTGCATTTCATTATATTAGACATATTACAACATAGTAGTGAAATATACATATTAGTGAAATATATATGAATGTAATTCAAAAATTTTGAAAAAAAATTCAAGCATGAAACCTGGAAAATTTTTAAATGTCACTGCATATGGGTGTTTCTTATTTAAAGAAAGTTATAAATATTAACTGTATTTTTATTGAGCTAGACTGTGAACAGATTAAAGGTGCTCTATGCAACTTTTCTGGTAAGGGAGACGTCGCCTTCATGTTACCATGGACCGTATATACCTTGCATTTATTCAGTTTTCATTTCATTGCTAAAAACAATTACAGTTTTTTTATGCATCCTTACTATGAACAGGGTCGGTCTGGTTGTGTTGTCTGCTTGTCTCCAGGGAGATGCGTTTTAAGCCATACTGTCAAACATTACAGGCAAAGCAACATCATCTCCATTCAGAGAATTAAGCAGTTGACTCTTCACCAGAAAAGCTATGTCGTGCACGTTTAAAGCCTTAGTTGAAATTTATAAATGGCACTTTTCTGTTTTTTTCAAATGAACTATTTTTAACTCGCCATTTGAGGTCTATCTTTTAAAAATAGGTTAAGATTTCTGAGTTGTAATTTTAATACACATTTTTGAATCATAATCAGCTCAATCTTTGCACCAACAGGTCTGTGGCATTTAACATTTTTTGGCTTTACGAGTTTGTTTGCATCTTTCTTTATAGCGCAACATTTGAGGAGAACATATATGATGGTTATAAAGAGGCTTGCTCGTGCTTGACTTTAATGTATTATAGGCCTGAAGCTACTTAAAATATGGAGTGAATGAATGTTATCTAATCTGACAATCATCTCATAGGAATGATGGCTAAAAGGCTTTGACCTACAAAAATATTTAGAGCAACTTTTACATTTTCAACTGTCAAAATTAAATATGTACGACAGGTTTTTTTGTTTTTTTGTTTTCTTTTGTTCAAAGCTTTGTTATTAGGTCTGGGAATCAGGGTCCCTCAGGATTCGATATGATACAGAATATATGGCTCACGATATTATCACAATTTGGCAATACATGTGACAGTCAATATTTTCATCATCCAAACAATAAAGTGAATATGTCAACTGTAGTGCATAAACAAGTTTCCTTCCACTAAATAAGCAACAAATTGTATGATATTTCAGTATTTTCAAAAGTTCTTTTTGACCGAGTTAAAACAAGAAACTGGATTCAACCAATTAAATAGCACAATGGACGTTGTTTAGGGATTGGGCCCATTAACTTGCTATGTAATGATTAATTCTACATTCGCACTAGTACCTTCACCACATAAAACCTGAACTAGACCAGGATTAAACTGGGACTAGAGCTGGACCAACTCAAATCCACACGAGGAATAAAATGGGCTCAAAATAAATAGCTGAATAAATAAATGTGTGAACATACTCTTAAAATCTTTTCACTTAACAGTAATTGTGACAGAATGATTGAGCAATGCTGTCGCTTTGAATATTATTTAAAAAATAAATAAATAAATAAAATCTTCTTCTGACAGAGAAGATAGTTTTAGCTTGTGGACTGGCTTTTTAACAGCTTAAAAATATCTACATTTTGACAGTTTACCATAACATTAAAATTAAAAAAATTAAAAATGCAGTTTAGAGACGTCACATGAGTTCAGTACCTTCTTGAGTTTCAGCTTCTTGTTTATAGGCGACATTTTGAGGACTTTGAACATATGAATTGTTCAATGCTATGGTGATGGTGTTATTGTTTCATCTCTCATGGATTGCTGTGTTTGTTACCTGAAAGCAGAAAATATAATTCAGTACTTAATCTGACATTAAATATCTGAAAATGTAATCTATGGGAAGTGTTTAATAATATTGCGTTGTTTTGTGTTTCAGGCCAAACTTGATCGACATGGGGAAAGTGTACAGACAGACAAACCAGGAGAATCTGGAGCAGGCCTTCACCATCGCAGAGAGAGAGCTGGGAGTCACACGGCTGCTCGACCCCGAAGGTTTGATGGAAAAAAATATATTTTTTTTTAGTTTTGGTGTAAAACAGACACTGATGCTAATCTATGGCCATAAAATGATAACAATTGTTTTGAGGGTTAGCAAAGAACTGTAAATATGACAGAATATGATGTACACCGATGTTTAGTTGTCCCTTTAAGGATTATCAAACACTTAAATCATATTTTACATTTTAAGGTGCATTTACTTTAAAGCGCTCTATGTAACTTTTCTGGTGGAGGATCTACCATTTTAGCCCTTTTCCATGGAGATGTCAGTGCTTTGCATGGGATATTCCACAGTATAGTATGAAATGTGTCTATCTCCTTAGAGACAAACAGGTGACACTACCAGGTAGTGTTTGACAAAGTATTATTATGATAAACACAATATCATACAGTGGAACATCTTAGGTAAAGCAATGACATATTCTTTGGGAACGTGAGACTGTACATATAAATGGACATAGCTAAACCTCTAGCTGCCACATTACAATTAGGATATGGGCATGGGCATGCTTCTGGCTCCATCAACTGTGGCTCCATTTGACTTTACATTGAAAAACGCTGCCCCTCTCTCCATAAGCTCAACTTTAATTTCACTATTTTGTCCATAAATAAATTCCTATTCCTAATATAGGACTGGCTCCAAAGTTGTGTCAATAAATAAGTGCTAGAGCCTCCTGAGCATCATTTGACTGGAGCCAAACTCTATAGGTGACGTCACTTCTTTTTACAGTCTATGGTGGAGAAACATGCAGGTACTAGATCACCCACCAGAAACACGCGTAGTTTTCCTTTGATACAGACTGGAAATAAACAAAATTATTTTAAAATGGGACAATAGTAATCAGTTTATTAAATCTACCTGTTCCCTCTCTCGCAGATGTGGATGTGCCCCATCCTGATGAGAAGTCCATCATCACTTATGTCTCGTCTCTTTACGACGCCATGCCCCGAGTCCCAGATGCCCAGGACGGAGTAAGGGCCAACGTGAGCACCAGTTTATCTGTAATCCCCAAATACTCCCCATATTAACAGTATCAATACTTTCAGTACACAGGACTTACGCCTGATGCTCTGTATACTTTGTGTACTGCGTGTAGGAGCTGGAGCTGCGCTGGCAGGAGTATTATGAGCTGGTGACGATGCTGCAGCAGTGGATGAGGCATCACATCCTGGTGTTTGAAGAGAAGAAGTTCCCCACCAGCTACGAGGAGATCGAGGTGAGAGATATCAGAGAGTTAATACAATACAATATAATAAATATGTTAAATATGTACTATATAGGGCCCATATTACACTGTTTTCTGACCTGTGTTATAATGTTATTTCCAAACAACAACATACCTGGAGTTATCTTTTGTTTTTTTCACACATGTTTAGCACACAAACCCTGCATATTTTGGCTGTTTTTAAACTCCATACACCTTCACTAGAATCATTTGAACAATTTCAACTCTGGAACTGTCAATTTCTACTGAAACTTAAAATGTAGCTGTTAACTTGAAAACTACCACTTCATGATTTCACAAGGTGGAACAGGAGCATTCTCAGCTTTGGAGATGTCGACAGCTTAAGAATAAAGGGTTACTCAAATATGTGTGAATGAAACAAAAACAATGTTTAGAATCTCTTTTACAGACTTGCCTCTATTAATAAAGTGTGTTGGCAGGTGTTATCTAAATTTCTGTCTGTTTTTTCAGGTTTTGTGGCGTCAGTTCCTCAAGTTCAAAGAGACCGAGCTCCCAGCGAAAGAATCAGACAAAAACCGTTCCAAACACATCTTCAAGTCTTTTGAAGTGCGTTTTATCAATGATACAGTTTAATTAAGTTTTTATTGACGTGAAATCAGTTTTTACATCACAGACATGGTTTAGCCTTTTGTCTAGGTTTAAGCTGAAATGTGAAAAACACTGTGTTATGTGTTCACCTTTTTGTACAACTTGATCTTTGCGAGAGTATCTTTGTTTAGGTCAGTTATGATTGCACAGTGAAGATATCTGTGTAATTTAATAAGAGTCCTCATTAATGTTATATAGTAAATTGATTGTATCTAAAGGCAAATACAAACAGACAGTATATCTCTTGCAATTCCTCATTATTGACGCTTTCGTCTCTGTGTCTGTAGGGGGCAGTGCAGGCCGGACAGGTGAAGGTGCCCCCTAGTTATCACCCGTTTGACGTGGAAAAGGAGTGGGGACGCCTTCATGTGGCCATCCTGGAGAGAGAGCGCCTGCTCCGGATCGAGTTTGAGCGGTAACTGAGACCATTTGGTTGTTTTTATTTCACTTTATCTCTTCCATTTCCATGGAATCTTGTATAGTGTTGGTATAAATAATACTATAGAAGGAGTTTGTTAAATATGAAAATGTGGGGGTGACCTTTGTTGTAAACTTCCAAATAAGGGTTCAAAATTATATTTCTGCATTTCTGTGAACATGTTATGCTCAAATTTAGATAGATATCTTAAACGTCAACTAATTATGTCTTAACACATCTCAGTTTGACATAATATACTATAATTTAGTTTATTTTAATGCAATTCATAAGAAAATGGGTCAACAATTATTTTTCATTATTTGAGGGAAAAGAAATACTACCAGAAGGGAAACAAAAACTAAACAAAAATTGCTTTATTGGTTTATATTTTTTTCCCACCTTCTGTATCTAGACCAACTTCTGTCACATGTTTTTAGTGTTTCCCTAATGCCATGAAAGCAAAAAGAAAATGACTCATTCCCAAATGATGAAGCGATCATAAAATACAGCTTTGTCGAACGGAAAGTAGAACAATCTCTTTTGGGCAAACCACATGACAACTCTGCTATCACCATAGCAACAGCCAACAATCCTAATTTTGAGAAATGTTGTTTAATCACAAGGCCGAGCAGGGCGTAGCTTTTCTATTTCTTTTTTCCATGGCTTACCAAAGCAAATCACAGTTACATTTCAGTTAGTGGACAGAGAAACAAGGCAAAACTTTAAAATGGCTTTTATGCAACAAGGATATGCATTAAAATATCTGTATAGGAGTAGGGCAGAGTATGTTTTTTTTATTTATTGACTGAAATTGCATAGTGAGTTTTACTGTGGTTGAAATTACATAATTTTTTTCATTCATTTCAGATTGGAGAGACTTCAGAGGGTTGTTAGCAAGGTCCAAATGGAGTCAGGAGTCTGTGAGGAGCAACTGAACCAGGTGGAGGCACTGCTGCAACAGGTAAATAGAGAAAGTTAAAGGTGCACTTTGTAACTTTTCTGGTAGAGGATCTACCATCTGCTTGTCTCACAATGATGTCATTGCTTTGCCTGGTATGTTCCACAGTATGGCTTTAAACAAATATATCATGTATGTATTCATTTAGAGGTGTTTTTATTTCTCAAAGCTACCACAAAGACACGCAATCTTACCCTAAGTGGGCCCAGTTCTCCACAGATCTGACCTGTAACTTGGCCTGGTGGTGTGGTTCCTTGTCTCCATGGAGATAGCTAAAATAAATGCCATACTGTGGAACATTCAATGAAAAAAAATAACATGTACATGGAGTCAAGCAGGTGGCGGACCCTCTATCAGAAAAGTTACACAATGCACCTTAAAATAAATAAGTTGTATTTTCCCATCAAGTGACTTTTGATGGTAACGTGAGTTTAAATTAATTTGTTTTTTGTTTTAGGATGTGAGATCTATGGGAGCTGGAAAACCTCCTCAGCATTCTGGAGAAGTGGAGGCAGATCTGGAAAAGGCTGAGGGAATGATCCGCCTTCTGTTCAATGATGTGCAGCTGCTTAAAGACGGGCGCCACCTACAGGCAGAGCAGATGTATCGCAGGTAACATTAGACACTAGGAGTAAACTGATATATGATAAATGTTTAAGAGGAAATTAATTCCATATATAGAAATAATTATCATACAAAATAGTTATTCAAAGGTTTCAGTTTAGCTCCTGAAGACAGCACTAATTTTTCATTATTCTGAAAGGGAGGTTCTGATCTGGTTAACATGCATATGATAATAATGTATTTTTATGCTTCCCTTTTTTTCTTTTTTTTTTAAACTTTTTCACAATTTTTCCTTATGCCATGAGGTTATTAAGAAAAAATGGACCAGCAATTCAAATAACAAAGTCTCTTAAACAGTGAAATATTTGAGCTCATTGTTGGATGGCAAATTGTTTGTTTTTTTCACATCATAGATTGTATAAAGAAATAAATTAAATGAATGTGAAGTCACCAATACCCTTCGGCTCCAGTCAAATGAAGCTCACAGGGTCTAGTAGTTATAGTGAGCAAATTTGGAGTCAAGATCCATAAGGAATTTAAACACCAGATTCATGTAGGGCTATGAACATAGTAATATGAACATTTTAAAACCAAAATGACGAGTCTGACAGCAGCAGTTACAGAGAGAGTTACAGAGTGAGTCGATGGAGCTGGAAGCGCCCTAATGCTCACTTCCTATTTGGAATGAGGCAACTAGCAGGCTAGCTATGTCGATTTATGTATACATTCTATGTTCTTTAACTAAACCTGCTTTTCCTCTTCCTTTTTCAGGGTCTACCGTCTCCACGAGCGCTTGGTGAACCTCCGCAGCGAGTACAACCTGCGCCTCAAGTCTGGAATCACCGTCACCCAAATCCCAATGACTCAAATCCCCATGACCCAGGTCCAGATGGGGCAGGTCCAGCAGACTTCATCAGCCAGGGTGAGACCAGAGCTGGATGAGGTCACCATGAGGTACATCCAGGACCTGTTGGGATGGGTGGAGGAGAATCAGAAGCGCGTGGACGAGGGCGAGTGGGGGTCCGATCTGCCCACCGTGGAGTCCCAGCTGGGCAGTCACCGTGGTCTGCACCAGTCCATAGAAGATTTCAGGGCCAAGATCGAGAGGGCTAAGGCGGATGAGGTAATGTTTGGCGATGAAGGGAAATTTGTTGGATTTTTGCACAGTTTGAAAGCAAATTCCTAATTTTTAACTGTCCTAACAACTATAGACAATTACAGAAATTATACTCCAACTGCTTGCTTGTCTCCATGGATATGTAATTTCTTTACCCGGAATGTTCCATAGCATGGCATTAAACATATCTCCCTTGCACTTGTTCAATTACAGATGTTTTATAGCTCAAAAATACCTTAAAAACATGAATCCTTACAGTGTGCAGGCTTGCTTCTCCATAGATCTGACAATTAACCTGTCTCTATTGTGATTACCAAGTTTAATGAGAGTGACAGTAGCTCAGTTGGTAGAGTGTTTGTCCACTGATCTGAAGGTTGTCAGTCCTGCTCTCGACATAAACATCATTGGTTTAAGTGGTCAGATCCACTGACCTACATGTAAAGCGCTTTGAGTGCCTTGAAGGTGGAAATTTGCTATATAAAAATATGACCATTTACTATTATTTCCATACTGTGGAATAATCAAGGCAAAACAATAATATCTCCATGGAGACCCTCCACCAGAAAAGTTATATAGTGCACCTTTCATTACACAACAAAACACAGCCATTTATATTCTACTGTAGTCTAGATATGGGTTAACAGAATGACAGAGAGACACTTTATTTGCTATATTTTGTCATTTTAAAAGTGTATACCAGTAATCATTTTAATTACTTAATTTAAATTTCCCTTTCGTTTCAGAGTCAGATCTCCCCTGTGAGTAAAGCTGCCTACCGTGACTATCTGAGCAAACTGGAGCAGCAGTACGGAAAACTCCTGGTAAGATTAAATCTCTCAAATACAATTATATGTTGTAACATCGCTGTACTAATCATTAGTAAAAATGACATTAGAATAATCTAAAACTGTAAAATCATTTATAAACCACACAAAAAATATCTCAAAATAAATAAATATAACATCAAAACTGTCCCTTTGGCAGAGTGCTTCCAAGTCCCGTCTGCGTTACCTGACGGAGCTCCACACCTTTGTTACCGCGGCAACCAAAGAGCTGATGTGGTTGAATGAGAAAGAAGAGGAAGAGGTCAACTACGACTGGAGTGAACGCAATACCAACATGACGGCCAAGAAGGAAAACTACTCTGTGAGAAACAATAATTAATAAATTTGGCTTGTATTTTGTCTTATTAAATGCATTTTGGTCTAATTTTTCAATATTTTTTTGTCAGGGTCTGATGAGAGACTTGGAGCTCAGGGAGAAAAAGGTGAATGGGGTCCAGACCTCAGGAGACAAACTGCTCAGAGATGGACATCCAGCCAAGAAAACCATAGAGGTGAGTCAAATGCTTAAAAAAAACATAAATAAATTAGTTAAAAAATATATTTTGATATGATGCCCTTTAAAGGGCCCATATTACGCTATTTTCTGATCTCTGTTATAATGTTGTTTCCTTATCAGAAACATACTTGAAGTCGTGATTTGTTTCATTCACACATTTAGAGTTGGAGTAACCCTAATATGGACCCTTTAAATGTATGAATTCATTGCTCAATTTACTAAAATATATTCTCATTCAGGCCTTCACTGCAGCTCTTCAAACTCAGTGGAGCTGGATCCTTCAGTTGTGCTGCTGCATCGAGACTCACCTCAAAGAAAACACTGCCTACTTCCAGGTTTGAACCTTAACAAGCTTAAACCTTAATTATTTTATAGTTAATCTATATTTTATGACTAACTTCCTGTTTTGTTTTAGTTTTTCTCTGATGTGAAGGAGGCTGAGGAGAGGATGAAGAAGATGGAGGAAACGATGAAGAAAAAATACATCTGTGAACGGTCTGTGACAGTGACCAGACTGGAGGACTTGCTCCAGGATGCTGCTGTGGGTGCAATTAATCATTACTATAACCTATTTAGGTAGCATTAATTGGTGATGATTTATAATAAGTTGAATTACTTGGTTTACTAAATCTTAATCTTTAATCTTTATTTCTTTTTATTGCCTTTTATTAATGATCATGTTCAGATCAAGATCAGATATTCATATATACTGTATATATAACATAGATTTTTCACACAATTAAACATGCATTTATTTCAGCGGTAACATTGTATCTTATATTTTTATATTGTTTTGTTACTTGTCTCCAGGATGAGAAGGAGCAGCTCTCTGAGTTTAAGACCCACATCGAGGGTTTGAAGCGCAGAGCCAAAACTGTGGTCCAACTCAAACCTCGAAATCCAGCCTCTCCCATCAAGGGCAAGCAGCCGATACAGGCCGTGTGTGACTTCAAGCAGATGGAGGTAAAATATATCTTTATATTAGATTACATTAAGTTAGGTATACTTTATTGTGTCCAATCTTGAACCAGAGCGCCTGTAGGAAATCCATCCAGTGAGGGAGAACATAAAAAGCCACATCATTTTCAAATCCAGGACCTTTTTGCTGTGAGACCTTTGCCCAAACCATCTCTTACTTTGTTTCAATACAAATACAAATACAAAATGTTGACTGTCTCTTTCCATTCTACTCTATTTCGTCCTATTTGTATTTTTAGTGACACCATACAATATATGTATGTGTATTGGCGGAAAGAGAGGGACTTGTTCAACAGATCCAACTAAGTCAGTTCTTTCTGTTCAGATTATGTTAAAATAAGGTTCAGATTAAAGTATAACTTGAGCCTCAAACAGAGCTTTGCTTACAGTTATTATGACATCCCTAGGAAATGTTTATGACATCAGCGGCATAGTATGGATTCTTATTGAACACAATACATAAAAAAAACTAATATTTTAGGTGGATAGAATTCGCCCATCTTTGATTTCAGTAAAGCCTAAATTATTTCCATTAACAGATTGCCAAATATTCTTGCAATATTCACATACTTCATTCATGTACCTTCAGTCAATATTCACATCTTAATAAATGTGACTAAACTTTACTGTGTTCTGTTTTGTTCAGATCACGGTGCACAGAGGAGATGAGTGTGCTCTGTTGAATAACTCACAGCCGTATCAGTGGAGGGTCCTGAACGACAAAGGCAGTGAATCAGTGGTCCCCTCCATTTGCTTCCTGGTTCCACCGACCAATAAGGACGCAGTCAACTCTGTCGCCGGGTAAATCTATATCTAAATCTCTATTATAATTGATTCTCACTGAGGTACATAATTGGTGAGAAGTCTTGGTTTAGACCTTAGAACTTTATTACAAA